CAGGAGCGTCAGTCTCGTGTCAACACGGCCGTCGCCATTGGAATCGTGGCCGAGACTTGTGCTCCTTTCACCGTTCTCCCCGCCCTCATGAACGAGTATCGCGTTCCGGAGCTGAACGTGCAAAATGGTGTGCTCAAGTCTTTGTCTTTCCTATTTGAGTACATTGGCGAGATGGCCAAGGACTACGTCTACGCCGTTACCCCGTTGCTCGAGGATGCCCTCATCGACCGCGACCAGGTCCATCGTCAGACGGCCGCCTCGGTTGTCAAGCACATCGCGCTTGGTGTTGTCGGTCTGGGCTGCGAGGACGCCATGCTACATCTTCTCAACCTCCTGTACCCGAACCTGTTTGAGACGAGTCCTCACGTTATTGACCGCATCATCGAGGCCATCGAGGCCATCCGTATGGCCGTCGGTCCCGGTGTGGTACTCAACTACGTCTGGGCGGGGTTATTTCACCCGGCACGCAAGGTACGCCAGCCCTACTGGCGGCTATACAACGACGCCTATGTCCAGGGTGCCGACGCCATGGTGCCGTATTATCCCAACCTGGACGAAGAGAAGGTGGACAGGTCGGAGTTGGCGATCATGCTCTAAATTGCTCGTGGGGTCTGGCAGGGACGAGGGGGTAAAATGCAAGAGCGGGAAGACAAGGTTCAACATCACCCCCCCCCCCCGCCCTCTCAGGGTGTTCTTCTACATACGATATCCAAGAAGGGATGTGTTATTTTTTTTCCTGCAACCGGCCCACACAGTCCACATATTACCTTAGTAGAAAAGGTTACGTCCGAAAGCGAGAGTCCGAGAAGACCAGAGACTGAGATGAGGACGGATGACTGGGCAGTTAAGCGGTGTGTTTTCGCATCGAGGGGGCGCGCAGGGTAGCCAACCATTGTACTTGAGTCATAATACTCGCATCCTGTAGAATTCTCTCATGTTGGTGGAGCATTTTTTCGAGCAACAACAAAAAAATTTCTGAACGGCGTTCTAAGATGGGAAGAAATAATTCACTAATCATTGCCCTTTCGCATTCCGAAACAGGATCCATTTCGTTATTCCGAAGGGTTTCCCCTCAACCTCGTGCTGGTTGTATGCGTGCCCACCTTGCCCTTCAGAAATTGTACATATGCTCGCTGTAATATGACTCGAGTTAAGACGAGCTCGGTTCGAACAACTCTCGCCGTATCAAGTGACACTACGATGCTGCCTTGGCCCCTTCTCCCGCCACGGGTTGTATGATTGACATCTGAGATGGGGAAAACCCGCTTACCCACTTGCCTTTAATGACCAGAATGGGAGCCGCAGCATAGTAAACCAGGAACCCTCATCTTATGCGAACGCAATGGAGGGAGGGAAGAGAGAGTAGAACAAGACAGTTTAGGCACGGGGAACAGAAGGAAACGGGGAGGGGGGCGGAGACGTCTGCTCCTCTCGGACCCGGTGTTCTGACTTCTTCTCTTAAGCGGGGTTCGGCGTTTCGAAGCAGGCAGTTCCTCGTCTCGAATTGCGTCCCTGAGGGATTGTTATGGGAGGCGGGCAGCCCGGGGACGAGGCCAGGGGATCCTTTTCTTGGGGAGGGTCATGAATCGAGGAATATCCCAGGCAACATCACACACCGACCGTCCCGACGGTTGCCGTTGCCGTGGCCCCTGGCTCCCCGTATGATCTCGGCGCATCGGTAAGCCGGCGGCCGGCAGCTGAGGATGAATGAAAATATGAAAAGTGACACGGTTCGGCCTCATTACCTACGACTCCAGTATGGATGCGATGCCAATATACAAGAAGGAAGGACCTCAAAGATGCTAAGTGCATCTTTTCGGCCAGTCGCACACATGACATGACAGGAAGAGGAAAGAGAAAAAAAAAGGAAGAAATAAAAGAAAAGAAATAAAAGGGAAAACAGGCTGTCCATGCCATTGACTTCTGTTCTTGAAAGTCTCGTAATAATGCGCATGTCGTACGTCCAACCCCAATTGATAATCTCAGTTGACTTATAGGTAGACAACGGAAAGGAAAGGAGCACGTAACGCTGGCTCAAAAGGCTCTCTGGTAGTACATGCCTTTACACCGAAAACCCGCCTCTTTACACACAAGCATAGAGAGGACGATGGGCGCCCCGACGTTGAGGTTGTGTCGAGGAACGAATGACGTTGGTACATTGACGGAGTTCAATCCTTTAAGCTACAGCTCGTCATATAGGTTATGGCTTGGGCATACATTAGAAACGAGAGGGCGGGAGCCGCCCCTCATCCCCGTTTTCAATTGACAGCAACGAACTTCCAACCCGAACGAAGTTCTTCTGGGATGGCCCTTTATCCATCGGGACCCGACTTCTCGGTTTCCATCTTCGTCCATACGAACTTTTAGTAGGGATGGCCATGCTTCTGCCAGGCACACGGCTCACGTGTTCTTTGTACCATGTAGTGTACCTAATTTTTCTCTCCTGTTTAAAAATAAAATCACATAAATCAGCATCTTATAGGTTTGGAAAGGCCATCCCTCCTAAGTACAGTTACACTCTTGCTCCGTGCACGGACAAGAGCGGGTGAGCCATATTACGGCCAATACCACCCAGCCCTAAACTTTAGGCAGCACAAAAGGCCTCAAATCATTCCCTCGCGTCATTGTCATTGTTGTTGCTTTGTTGCTGTGATCAGAAGGACTGACTGCTGTACAGTACCTATCTGTGAACCAGGGTGTAGCACACTGTGTCTTTCACCCCTCTCCTTCGAGTGTTTGTCATGTCTGCGAAATGCAACTCATCTAGGGGCAGGGGCTGACTTGGTTGGTTGGTTCGCTGCGGGTTGCACTGCTGGCGTTACTGCTGCTGCCACGCTGCTAACTTTTATCTTGAGGGGGTTGGGGCTTTCCCGTGGGGAACGATAATCATTCGAGAACGGGGACGACAAATGCGAGATTCAGGTGAGACGGAGCGGGTAGATTATCGAAGGTTCGCTATGTGCAAATTAGGAACAACCTCCGATCAGGAACTCAATTCGAATGCAGGAAGCCTCAACCCCCGAGTTCGCCAACTTTGTTACGAACGGCGACTTGCATAATTTGCCAGCAAATTAGTGTATGTATTTGGTGTTGCAGTGATGAAAGGTGTGTTGAAAAGTGAAATGCGGGCGGCTTGGTAGCTGGCTTGGTTTGTCCGGAACAAAGCGCACCTGTGTAAGCGGCCGGCCTTCAAGACACCTGATCGCTTTCGTCTCGCCTTTGGCAGACGTCTGCGTTGTCTTGCTGGTGTTGGCGTCTTGTTCCCGTTTTGCTGCTTCTTCTTCTTTTTTTCTTTTTTTCTTTTTCTATTTTCTACCTTGTGGTACCCGCCTTACCTTGGCCAACTACCTACCTTTTCCCAGGTGCGTTGCGTTGGCAAAGGAAACCTCTCCAACAGCGCCGGCAATGCTTTTCACGTAAAGGGTCACTGCGGGGGATCTGCAAGCCTGCAGTGACCAGGAAAGAGAGTTGAGGCTAGTTGGCGATAGTTCAGACTGCCGAGGCGTTGCAAACACCACTAGCTGCCCTACCGGTACTTGGACCGCCCATTTTCACTCTGATTAACACGGCGAGAGCAGCGATCGACAAAAATTCCCTGTAAATCTGCATGCCCCGATGTGTCCTCAGTGCCCAAACGTCCAAATAACGTACCGGTTGAACCCGACCAGCACGAATATGGTAAGCGCTGTCTCGGCCAGCTCGGCCAAATCCACTGGAAACCCCGGAATGTTTGAGTAGTTGGCGAATCCCAGGGGGATTACCAAGACATGTTCTAGAGGGCACCCGGAGGAAATCGATAAGATGCAAGCCCCTATACGAGCCCACCTCATTTGCATCCCCGTGTGCGTTAGGAACAGGAAGAAACGACCTCTCTATAGTGAGCGGTACGCAGTAGACTGAGCCACAGCGTCGCCATACCTTGTCCGAACAGAGCAGGCACGGGGCTTAATGGCATCGCAGCCTAGCTGGACGGACGCGCCATTACCGTTGTGGATTGGCATGTTGAAGGGTACTGAAGCCCCTAGAATTGCTGTCCTGGTGGCATGGTGAAACGCCATCTGCAGTTGTCGAGGCAGTTTCATCCCTACATAATCTCAACACCCGCGTGCCATCCCATACGAGCAGACCATGATCGCCATAGATCATCGCCTTCATCGTGCTGTTGTCCGATTACCCACGAGCAATCTAATTCTTCGACACATGGGCGGACGCCGATCCGGAAGCTTCCTTTATGCATCAGAAGGCCCGTTCGCCCGCCCTCCAGTCGGGAAGGTCGAAGGGTCTGCACGCTGTCGGGTTTGGGGCGGAATGGCAACCGGAACATTAGCAGCTTGCCCCCAGACTAAGGCTGGAGTAGAGTTAGTTCATTGGAGGCGCTGAGAATGAGCTGGCGTTCCGGGAGTAGCTCAGTCATCTGACTAGTAAACGGTTTGGCGCCGGGGGTCGCTCGGAAGTCAGTTGGCGTAGGCTGGAAACTCGCGCTTCCTCAAGACGCGTCGAGTAAGGCAGCTTGGCAGGCCAGAACAGGTGGGTGGCGCTGGGAACGGCTCGAGCACCTGGCCGGTTGCTGCAAAGCAACAGGTGGTTACCTATAGGGATAGTGAACCCGATCCATCTTGTATCTCGCAAGCCGTATATGCAAGGGAGAGGGGTTAGTAGGTATGTCACGGTACATCATGGATGGCATTTGGGGGGGGGGGGGTAAGTCGATAATGATGTGTGGCGGTTTGCGCGTCTTTGTGTCGGCAGAGCCATGTCCGAATGAGTCAACGTCCGACCAAACCTCACTCCCAAGGACAGTCCCATGTAACCAGCGGAGGGTAGGCGACACAGCAACTCAATGGCGCAGAGAGGCTACTGGATGCACAGGACACCGATATAACCGTGATCGGGGTCATGGTTGAAGAGGGATGAAGTACTTTTTTGTCATGAAGATGTGGTTCGAAATTGTCTGGAGCGAAGCGATTCTGGGGGAAGAGATGCTGCTGATTGACCTGGGATGCACGCGGGGGTGTACGTTCACGACACTTGTGAGGAGGGAGGGCTTGGGTGCTTTGAAGGAAAAAGTAAACATGCGAAAATGGGCGTGGAAGGGTCCTAGTAAATATCCAGGGGACGCATATGGCGACATGCTGCCGTTTCAGAAAGAGGAAAGGACCAGGCAAAGGCAGCTCTGGGGGACGACGTCATTGTGTTTCGAAACATCCCACGATGCCCCTTCCTCGCTCGGGTTCTCCCGTATTTTGGGGGGTATGAAGCTGCGGTAAGCATAAGGGAGAGAACGAGAGGGCTTAACAGACGCGCCTGCCTTATAGAAGACATGTGATTGATGCTGACTGATTTTTGGCACTTGCACTGCTGCACTGCACTGCCTGGGGAAACTGTCGCTTGAACGGCAGGACCGAGATGCTGAGCCGAGTTTCCGGACGGGAAAGGGAGAAGAGGCAGGCAGGGCACAACAAGGAACGAACGAACGCCTTCCTGCATGCATTAAGCCGCATCTTTCTTCCTTTCTTTCTTCATCAGGTCCTGCCGCCTTGCCGACACCGACTGGCTGGGTCATGCTGTCAACTTCCGTCCGAATCTCACGACCCCGGATTCAACTTCATCCTACCTACCTTGACTTCCCAGAAAAGTCTATCTTCTCATGGCTCTCTGTCTCCTGCCAACTCGACTCCATTCACTCCGTCATTCAGCACAACCTTACAGCCATCCAACGCAAGAGAGAATTCCAGCAGCGCATAGATTGTGCCATGCATGTCAACCAGGCGATACCCAATGCCTTTCAATCATCATCTAATGCCCTTTAGCAGCTGTACCGACTTCAACTCGGGTTCTCCTCACCGGCATTCCCGCCTGCGGCATTGGTTTCGGCTGGCGCACCGCCTCGGTTGGCTTGATTTCTTACCGCAAGTGCCACTGAGCAATTTGACGCATCCGCACTACCTACTCTGTCTTTGGCTTGACTTGACCACTTTCAACGGTCGCTCGTATACCTCTTCAAGCCTCGTCGTCGGCTGTAGCAATTCCGCCATTAACGGTTACAGTCATCTGCTTGCCACAGCGTCTCTTTGGGCTTCTGTGTGTCGTTTGGATTCGCGTCGTCTTGCTCGCGTTCTGTCGTGTTCATTGGCGAAACTTGAGTTGTGGGATTAATGTGAGCATTCCTATGTCGCTAAGAAAGACAGACGTCCGTTCCGTCGCGGTAGGCGTCGATCAGGGCGTCGTCTGGCTGTCAACCACACATCTGCAACAGGCTACGCGCGTCAACCGTCATTCGCTCCACTCGGGACAAAACACTCACAGCAACACACAACCCAACCGACCTTGCAGCATTGACTAGCAATAGGGTTGAAGGCCTCTCTTGGTCTCAACTTCCTTCCCCCAAGTCCAAAAAGATATGGCATCATGACAGGACGACGGCACACGGTACAGGTCCAACTGCTCCATCCATCACCCTTGCCCCTCCCCCCTTTCAGGCTATTTCGAGCCGGCATCCATCACCTGGAAATCTACAAGACATTGAGCCCAAAGGAGGAAGCTGTTTTGCGCCTCGTATCCCGGCATGTATGTTCTAAGACTGATGCCGCCTCGCGACGTCAGAACGCTGCCCCATTGTTCCCAATGCAACCCAGAATGTGAGGGCCAAAATATCTAATGAATTATGGGAAGAAGGCCGAACCCACTGCTGGCCATCTAGTGTATCTGGCGTGCTGGGCACGACGTTCTGCTGGCCCCACACGAAAATTCAAATCAATGCCTGCTCTCAGGGTTTCTCGAATTACACTAATGGCCTCGACCAGCACCAGTGGCAACAATCACCGTGACAGCCCCAGCATGCAAGCAAGGCCTGCTTTCACACACGCATGCAGCACGCGGAACACGCCTTATCATGAGTTTACTGTCTCCTCTCTCTACAATCCAGTTTGGACAGTGAACACAACACCGGACATATCGAGCGGCGAGCAGCCAACGGGTACTTCGACGTCTGGCGTTATCGCTTTGCACCACGGCGATTCCTCGCTGTAATTAAGCCTTAACAATTGCCTGTACGATAGCACTCTGTGCTTCAGGCACCCCAGACACCAGGCCTTACAAAGTGAGGCTGGCACGGCTGGCCCGTCTGCAGGACAACAGAATACGGGCATGATCGACGCTCTGCTGCGGGCTCTAGGCGGGTAGGGATTCTACAGCACGCTACGGTCCATTCGGTATAGTGTCTTCATGCAGTTCAATGCCAAGAGCGCTGTCGGAAGTATCTTCTGGGTGCTTGACAGCCCCCGAGTGACAACGAAAAGACCCGCCTTTGGGGAATCCATGTTGATTCTGAGACATACCCTGGTCGACTCATTCAGCAAGGGGCTTCCTTATGGATTTGCCCTCCCGTCTCGCCTGCTCTCGCTCGCTGTGATGCCTGCGCAACCACCCAATAGACACAACTCGAGCTCAATTGGGTGCCCCCCTTCCCCTTTAGACGCACTCCTTTCATAATCATTTGCCAAGGATGGTTTTGATGAGCTTCTCGTAACTGAACTGCCGCAATGTGCCTGCATTATCCATATCTTCCATCATAATCAAACCTGACCCTACGCGACGCTACTCTACGCAATCCGTCTTCGAGAGTTGACATTGCGTTTTCCTCGAACTCTAATCCACCGCCAGCGTTGCACCCGAGGCGTTGTGGGTCACGCCTTTGCCCTTCACCAAAGACCTTGGTAGCGTGGACACATCCACCCTGATGCCGCACACAGCCGTCCACCCGCTCACCCGCTTGGACGGTAATACGACAGATTATCTGAGGTAGCCGACAGAGAATGTTTCCTTCAATGCGACCCTGTTATTGTTTTGGGCGAGGGGATCAGTCAGGTGCCGGAGCGCCGCCAGACTCTGCGCGGTGATCGGCGCCGTCATCTCTCGGGTATCTAGATGGATGAGGTGGCCCTCCCACGCCGCTCGACTACAACTCACTGTCGACTCCAGGAACTGCCCTGTGCGTTCGGCCCTACTCGATGCATTTGGCAGCCCAAGCTTTGCTTGACTGGGCTTTACCGCCCCGTGGCTTACCAAACGGCGAACGGGCTCCCAATAGACTGACTGCTCGGTCTGAGGACGAGCGCGGCATTCTCACACAGTCGTCTCGATCAGGTCGGTAAGGCGGTTGCCATCCGTTGCCGGGTCTCGAGCACGTGTGGTGCAAGCACGTTCCTCCCCGGCTGGCCGAGTGCTTTCTCACAAGCTGCCTGTCATCTCAGCTTCTCCAACTGGCATGTTCCACTCTCAACGACAAGCGATCATCATATCAAATTCCATGCCCCATCCGCAAGTCCATTTTCCGAGACTACTGGATCAGCATTGACAGGCCTGCTGAGTCTCCGCTATGTTGGCTGGTTGGCACGTTCTTCGGCCTCCAAGCCCGTCCACCAAGCCTGGCTCCCCGGGCTAATCGGCGACCTCAAGAGGGCCGCTATCAACTCTTTGAGCATGGCCATCCCATGTCTAGCGTGTTTCATGTGTCTCTTCCGGGCTTACCGTCCATTGCACTTCCTTCCAATGCAGTATAGTGAAGGTTTGATTTGAGATGAACGCTGGGGATAATCTCGAAGAACCTGGTTGCAACTCTCCATGTTCCGCATATCCCATTTCGCTCATTCCGAAAACAAACATCTTCTGATCATCTTCTTTGGGAAAAGAGCTGCAAAGTTGATCCGGCAGACGCTGTTGAGAACTTCCAAGCCTCCCGAGACGGCCCATACTCATCCAACGATGCCTGGTCTATCGGCTGCCAAGAGGTCTATTGGCCCCCTCTCCTAAACCGGCAGCCCGTGAGGCAAGGCTGCCCCTCGCCGATCTTCTGCGGAACGACACCTTGGAGACTAACGTTGGGGTATTTCATTAGGTACCAAGAAGAGCTTTACAGTACGAGCTCGGGGTTCTTGCAGGGTCTTCAGACGACAGATGGTCGTTGAGCTTACCGAACCCCCACCTGCCATGTGACCCGGGTCGTAAGGGAAAAAAAAGCCCGTCACTAGGAAGACGGCATCTTGTTACCGGGCCCAGGAGGCCCGTATTGTATGGGGGCCAAATGAAATGTTATCTTTTGGGCAACTGCGGCAGATGGGTTTTCCATCGTCATCGTTGTTGTAATCAAATTCTTTTTACCACGAGGCTACACACCCTCAGGGATCACGATACTAGTCGGGAAGAACGTTGTCCAGTTCTGCACCGCTTCTCCCCACACGCCCCTAGGCCGAAAGCGGCCCGCTTCTGCTGGCGTATGCCTTTGGTGGCCAAGGTGCTCACTGGTTCCAAGCTTTATTGAAGCAGTGAGGACACAGGACACCAGTCCTCCGTATACAATAGAGCGTTTAATGAGAATGAATAGCGGCGTTGTTGGTGGCATCGGATTTTACATCGGCATACGTTGAAACACCAGGCGGCTCCTATTGGCTGACTTGGGCTGTTGCAATCAAATGGGCAAAAGCGCTCGCTCATCAGGGTTCAGCTTGCGCACTAAGCGCGATTAGACGTTACTGAAGGGTTTTGTCAGCGCCATTGCGAAAGGTAATGGGCGCATCGTGACCGCTCTTCACCATATCTCGTATGCCCCAGCCTCTGCAGGGGCAGCAGATAGAGGACCAGGGTCGTGAGAAGAACGTTCCGCACTCCAAGTTTTAGTGTCATGGGCATTGAACACTTGGACTTGCGCAGCGTCAGGTGTTGGTACCTAGCTTGTTGGTGGTTGTCGTTGTCTGGCTGCAGCAGAATAGCTGCTAGTGCAACGCCACTCCCATCATCCGTCATCTCCCAGAAAAGGAACGGTGGATCATCTCCCTTGCGTACCCATGCATATCTGTGGGACTTAGCTTTGGTGCAATCAAGTACCGGGTTCCTCTTTTCTTTTCTTTTTACTTTTCCATTTCTTTTCCACTCTCCATTTTAGCCAACCCCCCCTGGTGATGCTCATCGCATTGGGGAAAAGTTGCCTGCCATGCTTCACCTCTACGTAGACCTCAGGCATCAGTGATCCGGAAAGCCGTGAGACAAGCTCCTGCGCTTCCACGCACTCCGGAGTGCATGTATAGCGTTGCGTCCACTATTCTTTTTTCCTTATTCATCTTTCGATAAGCCCGTCAACGAAAGATACGTCGTAGAGAGAGACGGGGAATGCATGGGTCGACCGAATGAGGAAAGGAGGGAGAGTTTTTTTTTTTTTTTTTTTTAAACCCCCCCATGCTACGTGCGGCTCGGATGGCGTTTGCCATGGCCCCCATCAACAGTCTGTTTTCAGATAAGTCCCTGGGAGAGTAAAGCCGCAAGGTGTTTTGGTAGTTGGAGGCGACATGGTGAATATGCCCAAAGTGGACTGAATAGTTCTGGCAATAAATGAAGGAATGCTTGGCATGGAGAGCAAAGGGGGTCGATGGCTTCAAGTGGAAGGCTGTTCCCTGCTATACGGGCGGGTTCATCCTTTCCAGCACGTGAGGACAAGAGATCGTTGTTGTGATTACTTTTTTGGGGGAGCTGAATGAATACAGGGTAGAGCATGACATGTGGTGCTCTAGGAAGTCGAGAGGAGCCGCCGCAGCCTCTCCACCTGTACCATTGTAAGAGTAGGGTTGATATGGAGGGTACCCCGGATCATTGATGTAATCGCTGGGTCGGTTTGACGTTGACAAGTGGTACCTGGCCGGCTGCGGTCACTGAACAACCATCGTACTCTACTCTGGCAAGCGCCTGAAGCCGCAACCCCAGGCTCGAGTAGAAGGATTCTGGGTCACGGGGGAGAACGGGTGACTACGTCAGTCAAAGCTCACTGGTCCTCGTACAGGTCCTGCACACTAATTTGGCGGCACCACACACACACACACACACATACAAGTCGCACGAACCACAGATCTCATGCTGGGCGTGTTAGTTGGCACCGGCGTCATACATGTAACGGCCTCCTTTGGGACCCCGGATGCACTTTGCAGACGGACCGTGTCCAAGCGAGCATCTTTGGCGCATACGTCGCCAAGTTTGATGTCAGCCAGCATCAAAATTCGCCACTTGGGAATCGTCTAATGCACGCACGCAGCTTGTTGAACGGACAAAAAGCATCATTGTCGCTAGGGCACACGGCAATACCTAGGAAGGCTGATAAGGTGAATGGGCTTAACAGAGCTCGATATTAAGACAGGGGCAGACAGGCTTGGTCGGCGGGAGGATGATTTTGCGATGGCGTTTGGCCACAACCCCCCGGTCATCCATTTGCGGCAGCCGAGTACGTAAACAATCGCCTTTTGCTCCGTCACAGTGTATGAGGCTCAGTGACCGTTGCCATGGGTGTTCATGTTGACGCTGATGGCGCAGCCGCGGATGTCTCTTTTACGGTACTGAACGGCAACAGACAGACGCACGCACAGGCATGTCGCAACTTGGGATTAGGAGACGGGGTGGAGGCATGAGATGGCAATGTACCCGAGATGCCGCGATATGACGACAATGTCGAACTCTCCCGTCTTCGGCCACGCATTCTGTGCTGCTCGAGGCCATGGTCATGATGTGGCTCCAGCAACATCCTCTCATTCAAAAATGCCCGCACTCATCTTGTTGCAGGCTCCATGTCATCTCCCCTTCCGAAAGGGCACTCACTGGAAAGGAAAGGAATTTGACAGGATGAGGGGATGGGGGGATGGGGGGATGGGTGAAGGAGAGACGAAGAAGGCAGCTGCTAGGTACAATTACAGGCCCCTACCTCACAGCAAGCACCCCCTTCCCTGCCACGCGACTTGCTCCCGGCCCGTACGTCTTTGCGCTTCATCTGCTTTTCTGCTGCTGCTTCGTCTTGCGATTCCGCTTTCCATTCTCCACTTTCACTCTATCGCCCTCCCACTTTGCCGACCGAGTGCACAATTCTCAGCCACCAAGGGACTCTCTCCCCATGACCTATGACCCATCCCGCTCTTATGTCTCCCCCCCTGCCAATTGATGACAACAAGTGTCCGGGTGTGAGAGATGTGGAGGTTGTTTCAATTCCGCCCACCCCTGCTCGAAACGCATCAATACTCTATGTACATTGACGTGCCTTACGTCAGTGGTGCCGTTCAGAGGCGCCTTGGTGTCCATCATAACAGCTAGGAACACACCCTCCATCTTAGCCTTCTTCTCACACCCCCTTGGCTGCGTCTCCATTCCCTCCCCCACCCGGTCAGTCAAGGGTTTCTGCTCTGAGCCCGTCGAGGGCACAGGTTTGTTCTTGGCGCCCTCATCGACATCAACATGCGGTTGCTTATTTGTTCGCAGGCATCAAGAAAAGGGTAGGGAGGAATACGAAAATGAGGAGAGGAGGACGTGCCCAGTGCAGAGTACCACTCCTCAAATTCTCCTGCTCTGAACCTGTCTTCAGGTTCACACCTCTCTACTCGACATTCTGTTCTCTTTCGCTCTCGGAGACGATGCTGTCTTTCGAACTCGGCAACATCGTTATTGTGGGCGTCGTGGAGAGCAAACGAGCTAGCGCCTCGCAGCGCGAGATGGGAAATGTGTAGTGTAAGAGAGGAGTGTGTGTGTTGGGGGGGGAGGAGGTGGGGAGCACAGGTGCGCCTATTGCGACTACCCAGGTCCTCTTCCTCATGCTGAGGGCCTTTCGGCTTTCGCACTGAGCTGTTGTTTGGAGGGAGGGGGGGGGGAGGGGGCACAGAGACGTGCCAAAACCAGACGAGTATACACTTGCGATACGCTCCTTTATGGAGTACGGGCGGCATTAGCCATTCGGAGTGCGCATCTTGGGTATACCCTCCACTATTTTTACTTTCATTTCACTTTCCAAGTGCAGGAGATGGATGCGATGCCATCACACGCACGCACACCAACCGTCTCGCCCACCCGTCTCGGGGTCGCAACGGAAGAGAGCCAGTGCTGTCATCGGGCTTAGCGTTTGCAACCAAAATAACCAGAGGGGAGATGGGCACTAGGTATGAGGGAGAGAGAGAGAGAGAGAGTCGTTGGACAGAAACACATTGCGACCCCTCCCCCTGTCACCCCACCCTGGCCCTGAAGCCATGCCGCTCTGAGCCATCGCGACATCCATCTCAGCCCAAGGGGACTTTGTTTTGGTGGCGAGCAGGTGCCGTTCCGAGTCAAGCCATGGCCACTGGATCTGTAGATGAAGCTGAGCTACATGTATCGCATTTTGCCATGGCGTATCTACTAGCTGGGCTCTGGATAGGTAGGGCGAACAAGAAAAAGGAGTTGGATACGGAAGACCCTGCATATCCCATGTCTACGGGTGTTTGCAATTGACCAACTCACGGGCGTGCGGGAAAACGGGAAAGGGAAGGAAGGCATCCATTAAGCGCATTGGCACCCCCTCCTGCCGAATCAATACACTCCGTACTAATTTGATACCAAGTAGCATCGCGGCAGCGCGGGAAACAAAAGAAAAGAGAAGGAGAAAATGAGTACCTATCTATCTGCCTGTGTCCGCCTGCCCTGCCCACACACTAGCACCGACCCCCCCCCTTCTCCTCTTCCTCGTACCCTTGACTGCTCATCATCAGTGGCGCTCTTTTGGCTTCTTCTTGTCCTCTCTCATCGACCCTGTCTATCCTACGTTACTCTGATCTTAGCGTCTGTCGTTGGACTAGTCGGCTCGAAAGCTACTACTAGTCTACCTGCTCGGATTGGTGAGACGCGGGAGAAGAACAGAGCAACCTCCCCCCCCATCCTACCTAATGGACGATGGCGAGCGGGAGAGACAGTAGCTGGTACCTTGGTGGAGCTTGTCTTTGCTGGTGTATGATGTACTTCGTAGCCAGCAGCAAACAGGCGCAGAGCAAGAGCCATAGAGGGCCAGTGCTTGCTTGCTTGCGCATGCGAGCTAGCCTTGGCTGAAGTACACCCGGCGTACTTGTGTACTTGGGACGGGACGTGGAAGAGCCGTCAGCAGCTGTGCTTGCGGTCAGTAGTCCATCCCGCCTCAGGTGGTACCTGCGCCGCGCAGGCAAGACCTGGGCTGTACAAGGCAGGCGTGCATTCCGGTCCGCAGTCAGTACCTAGGTAAGTGCTAAGGTATAGTACACAACTCCGCACCCTCTTTCCCTCCTCTTTTTCTCACACAGACACGGAAGGCAGTGTGTGGCGCCTTTCTTCCCTGCCCTAAGGTCCACTTCGTCTGGTCCCTGCACACCTCCTTCTGATTATCGTCCCACACCCCCTCAGCCCTCGTCCCTCCAGCATCCCTTCCTTCCTCTCCCCCATCCCATCCTTCTCACTAACGGGACCCTACCCTGGACTCTTGAACCCTCTTTTCCCTTCGCTGCCAATTTTTTTTCTTGCTCTCTTGGCACTACACCCCCTTCTTCTTGCTATATACACCCCACACCCTCTTCCACTCTTTCCGCTCCACACAGCGTACTCTAACACCAAGTAAATCGACATCATAGCTTCATCTGCTTGTCTCTCCTTCCTGACCCGGAACCACGAGAGATGTAAAAGCGTTGTTCCCTCGCCTCCCCATCAAATTTCTGCCAATTCTACATCTTGCCCCAATTTTTTCCACTCCGAACGCTCATCATCAGAGATCCTCAGCTCCATCGTCCAACCTCAAACCAAACCTATTGCGACGCATTGCGCCAAAGTCTACTTTTCCACGCGCTCCGCCTTCTTTCTCGTTACTTGCCCCGAGCTCCTGCGGTTCGTCACATCAAGACAACTAAGGTACTCAAGCAAGCATCTTCAAAGACAGCAAGAAAGACAAAAAAAAAAAAGCAACATCTCACACTGCCCCCTCCCCCCTTCAAAAACAATAATAACAAGGGGCGTACCTACACACACACACACACACACACACACGCATACATAGAGGCTCACCCCCAATAACACGGGAAACCCCGCTCCTGAAAGTCCTCGCGGAAGAGTGGGAAGAGGAAGAGAAAAAAAAAATACATCTCCACTATCACAACATCATCGGTAGTCCCTCCTGGCTCACTTTGGAGACGCCAGTACTCGACACACCGCGCCGACTGAACAACAATACCTGGGGCCCCCCTGCCACAGCCTCCAGTTGACCTCGAGACCTTTCACCAAACCGTCTTCGATACCGCAGATCTTTGTCCCATTTCGACCTCGTCCCAGGGACGTACTCCAGGTCTCCTCCTTTCCTCCTAGTGGTCCTGTCAAAAACTGGGCCGCCATCTCTTCTTCCACTCAACTCCCTCGTTCTACACCACGCTACGCACTACCGCGCATCCGCTCCGCTCTCGCTGGCCCGCACCACAATACCTAACCTGGTCGTCCTTCTCTCCTCCATCTCCTCTAGGCTCCTCCTCAGCCTGACCCCCCGGTTCCAATCTGAACAAGCCTACTACCCTACCTAAATCGCCCCAACCCTGCCCCTTCGGCCTCTTTCCCACGGGATATTGGCGCTGTCGATCACTCTGAGTCGGAGTCGTCACAGCTGTCTGCAGAGAAAGGGTCTCCACACTCCTCCCATGTTCCGCTGACCACTGTGCAACAAGCTTCATACGACTCTTGCCTGGTCAGCCCAAACGATTGGTCTCAGCTCTCAACTGGTTCAAGTAGTCGTGTCAGTAGTCCACAAGCACACACTTAAACCTCGCTGATCCCCCAACCTCAACCTGCCCAACTCCTACGGGATCATCCAGTTCTATCCGATCCGTGACACGACTTGGCTTTCTACCATAATAGTCGTTACATACACTCGCATCTGATCAGTTCACGCTATCACATCGAACATCTAATACGCCTTGTTTTTATTTTTATTTTGTTTGACGGCCTACCTCGTCATCCCATCTCACCAACACCACCACCGATCATGACTATGACGTTAGATTCTCAGCAACGATTCGGACCCCTAAACACCTTCGACCACCTGTCTTCCTACGCACACTCTTCCGCCTCCCCTCAGTTCTCAAACCCGTGGGCCAACACCTCGTCGCCGCAAGCCCCCCAGGGCTTGTACGCCGGCCACGGTCTCGGCTCCGGTTTGGGTCTGGAGAGGTCACACACCGCTAGGACCAGCACTAGCAGCAATGCCTCGTCTTTGGGTTCTTACGGACAGATTCCCGTGACGGCAGCTTCAGCAGGTAGTCTCCCCATGGCAGACCCTCTGCCTAGGACGGACTTACTCACTGTTCCCCAAGATATTCTCAGTATCAATCGCATGGCTGCCACTTCCGCTCCTGCCTATGGTGATGCTCCCTACGCGACGGCTGCTTCTCCCGTAAACGGCTCATACACGGCATCGCCTACCCCCTACGAGACAATGGGCTACGCTCCCGCTCCCATGCGCTCGACGTTTGCTCTCGCCCCGGAACCCGAACACTCTAGGAGGTTCTCTCACTCGTCAGTACCCTCAACTTCCTTGGTCGACATCTCGGACCCCAGTGTCTTGGCCCGGCCCCATCGCAACTCAATGATTGACTTTAACAACAGAGGACTCCACCACCACGACGAACGACGGAGCTTCGCCGATGCTCTCGACGCAAGCCACGGCATGCTCGCTATGAGCCAAGAGACTCCTCGCAACATCTACGGCGCCCGCAGTGATAGGGGATCGGGGGATTCCTATGGCTTCCCCTCGACGCATTCGACCAGCTCATCCGTCTCCTCCACCTCTGGATTCGGCAACTACTACGGCGCCGACTCTGTCAGTGACTACTCGACTGCCGGATCAGACATTGAGTCTGTCACCTCCCGAACCCTCCCTCGGCCACACGGCCTCATAGCACCTCAGATCCCCCCAGCTCCCCAGTCCATGATGGGTCAGTTCAGCTCCAAGGTGTCGTCTAGCACGCAGAAGAAGCACAAGTGCAAGGTCTGCGACAAGCGCTTCACTCGCCCTTCGTCCCTTCAGACGCACATGTACAGCCACACTGGCGAGAAGCGTATGTTATCACTCGGCCGCAACAAGGCGGTGCTTGTCTTGTTCCATGTTGCAAAAATGCTAATCTTACTGTAGCCTTTGCTTGCGAGGTTGAGGGCTGTGGCCGTCACTTTTCAGTCGTCTCAAATCTTCGGAGGCACAAGAAGGTCCACAAGGGCGACGCCCGGTCTGAGGCCGGTTCGGAAGACCACCACTCTGACTAAATGTCCTCACGTTCGAGCCCTTTCCTGCAGGCTCGAATTGTAAAACACGCCTGTACACACAGCTTCAAACTGTGGAGGGCAGTGAGCAGGGCTAGTACGACATCACGAGTTTTCCTAGTTCGAGTCACGATCAACATCCCATATCCACCCCCGACGCCAATCAGACAGACATCCTGCATCTCCTATCGAGTGGCTCTACAATGAGTTTTTCAAAGTTTCCCATTATTAGACGATTCGAATTGTTTACCCGGTTTTTCATACGATACCATTCTCTACCCTCGTTTTAATATCCATCTATCGGCGAGCGAAAGAGACAAAGGCAAAATTTTGGCGACAGGACGGGAACTGGCGGGCGGGTTGTCACTTTCGGTTCATCGTCATACAGGGTATCATGATATGTTGGAATTCTTCACCCTCATCTTGTTTCTGTTTATTTCAGCCGTGGCGCGATTTGAGCACGCGGACTCCGGATCAATGGCGAACAACGCAGCGGTATCGGCGGCATCTCCACGGCCCAACGAGGCGCGCGAAGAAAAGGGGAGAAGTGTGCAGCGGACATGGGCCCGAACTCAACTCTCTGTCGATCGCTCACCCCACACCAGATCACGAAACGCGCCTGCTCCTACTTGGACCGGAGACGGGTTGATGGTTGGCCCGGCCCAACCACGTTCTGCATTTATTTCGGTTGTCAGTTATGTGCGAAAGAGGAAGATCTCCAAGTGGTCACAGAGGACCTGGTGATACCCTCACCCTCGGCGTTAAAAGGATATCGGGCTGATTGCCTTGGTTGCTGGCTGGTTTTGTATCATTTCAATTTTTTGTTGCGCGCTCATCATGTCATTTTCACATTTCTTTTGATTCCATCAAGGTTTCTAGAGATGACGAACGAGAAGAGGTTGTTTACCATCGGTGGTATGCCTCGCACAAAAACTCGACCCATATGTCCAGAGGGTTTTGGAAGAACCGGACAAAAGGCGATCTGTACTAGTAGTTTTTCACACTGGATGATTATACCCATCACACTATGAGGTGCCACTGCGCATTTTCTAGTTTGCATCGATTGGGTGAATTGCCTTCATGTTTTGTGCTCTGTTACTGCTACTGCTACTACCACACCTAATGGGTTGGGGGTGGGCATTGAGGCAGACAGGAATGGGGGGAGAGGTGGCAACGGCGGGATATGACTTTGAAACCAAGTAACGAACGGACCGGGATATCAGATTTGGGAAAGCATACGTACATGTGTACCAACATAGTATAGTTTAATTATAATGCAAAGGACAACTAAGAAGGGTTATCAACAACCTCCGTCTTCCCTATTGGGACCCGCCTCTTCACCCTGCGTGCATGAAATGAAGACAGTCGCTCATCAGCCGTGTCGATGGATTGACAAGGCAGGATCAGAGCAACTTAGCTGGGAAGATGACCTCCGAGAAAATCGCGAGACGCTGGACAGGGAGGTGTGGCTCATAAGTTACAGGCACTCGTCATACTGGAGTGAAAACGGAGGGTTGTCCTCGCTCTTTCGTTGGCATCGAGATGGGGGATCCCCGATAATATGCATAGTTTCATGCACACACCCCAAGGACGAAGCGCCATTGCCTGCCATCCCATCACATATGCATCTCCCCGCAACGAGAAAGGGAGAATGGGATGAGAGCGTATGGTTTTGGGACCCAGGCTTTGGGCTTTGGGCTTTGGGGGTGGGGGTTCGGCTCTCACCGACTCGCCACCGACTCCCCGACCTCCCCCCGCGGTGCTTCCGATGGTCTATTCTGGCAATGATGTGTTTGCTCATGAACATGCGTGCTCCTGCCTGGGGGGACAACCGTTGTGTTGGTGAGATTGGGGGCCCAAAACGCCTTGTTATCCTCCCCAATCACCTCCTCCTCCGAGGCAGGAGTTTTGAGGCTTTACAGCACCGGCCGGTACCGCTCAGATACTGCAAGCCAATGAGAGGGATAAGTCTAAAGTGAAGGGAAGAGCGTGATGTTGTTTCGTTCTGACGACAGCTGGGTGCACCATGAATGACTGGTCAGTGATTTGATAGAGACCGACCCCATTCCGAGAAAAGGGGGAAAGAGGTAGCGTCGATCTCAAAGAAGGGGGAGGAGGTTCGGCGTGTGTAGGTATCCATGTGAAAAAGACAGGAGTAACTGCCGCGTGGTCGGCGATCGACACGGGCCACGTTCGGTACGCGGGGACGCACGCAGGTATGCACGCACGCTCGTTCGCTTATGCCCACCTTGGAAGCGTAGCATATACACGCATCACTATACCCGCGGATAGGCAAGATCGTCCATTGGGAACGTGGTTCACAAGCCGTTCCTACTCGGGAGCGAGGGGGGTGGACGTCCTGTAAAGTGGAGGCTCGAGGCGCAACGTCGTTGACATTGGCGCTGGTGTCCACAGCCTATGTCAGCTGGTCCGATCCTGGTGGCGGCAACTTCGGACCATGGAACAAGGCGCCGTTGCGGCGACTGTTACGAACGCGGCGACGCGGATGGGTGGCTAAAAGGGAAAGGGGAAAGGGGAGAGACGAGGCTACGTAGGTGGCACCCGGTTGACAAAAAAGATAGCACACCTAAAGTACTTTCTTACACCACATCTACCCCAAGACTATTAACAAGTGTTTTTTTCTTATGCTGACACAGCCACAAGACGCAGTTAGGATATAGGAAAAATATATCTAATAGTAGGTAGAACATACTGGCATTAATTCTAACTATTTTATATAGGTATATCTATGTATTTAGTGTTGTGCTGTCTATAATAGTGCAGGGGGTGTTTAGGTGTGCCATCTTTTTTGTCAACCGGGTGGGTGGGTACCTAGTCTGGTGTAGGTACTCCGTATTTAGCGGTATGTCTACGTAGCTAACAGGGTCTGAAAGACGCTGTGTCCCAGATGGCACTAAGCCACGTTTGCTGTGAAGAAGTGACGGATGGCGCATTAGAAACGGAAGGGGGGCTTGTTTTAGCGCCATGTAAGATGTGGTATAGAACGCGCCGAGTGACCACTAGAGGGGCAATTTGCCCTTCTGCCTCAAGACCGGTATTATATCGGATCTTTATGCCCGTCCGTTTGACCTAATGTAGCAGAGGACAGGGCGCGAGGGGACATGAAGGGAGCAAGAAGGAAAACAGAAGAGTGACGAGGAGGGAGACCACGCAGAGGGTTTGGAGACTGCCGGTGTCAAACGGTGGGGCGGTCTGGGGGAGGCAGAAATAAAGATAAGAAAGACGAGCGTAAGAGGTGGATGAAAAGTGCTAGAGACTGGACTACCGGTAGGTTTGGGGGGGGGGGGGGGGGGGGGGGGACATTGGAAGAAGAGCAAGGAAGTAAGGCTCCGCTGGCCCCTGGGCTGGTTTGGCTGGGGATGACGATGCTGGAACGGTGGCATACCTATGGAGACTGCGAGCCTCGATGCGGCAAAATGGTTGGCAGGCCAAGATAACGACCTATCATTGTATGCAAGATGAGACGGAGCTGCTGAAGGAGTGAGCTATCCGCAATCGCGATGATACGCTGCACAGTACCTTGGCTAGGTACCTACCTAGCACACAAGCGAGAAAACTGGGGGGAAACTGACTACTCCGTACAGTACCGGTGTTGTCCCTGCCCACTACCTAGAGGAGTCGACCGTGGGGTTGGGGGAGGAGGAGGAGTGGAAAGACGGCGCGTGGCAGGAGGGATGTGTGCTCAGCACCCGACGAGGCCCTAGCCTGCCCACCTCAGCTCCGGCTCCAGCGCTGGGCGAGCGGACGGGCGGGCGGAACGAACGATGAAAGTAAAAATGGGTACCTGCGTTTCAGCAACATGCCGGACTCTCCACTGCAGCACGCGTCGAGCAGCGTTGGCAACAGGCGGCCTCTGATCATTGCCGGCTGGAGATACACACTGAAGTCAAGCTCGATCAAGCTTTGTGATGGACTGAAGGCGGGGTGATTGGACGACGACCTCCTACCCCTCCCCCCAGCGGGGGCGATTTCGGGGGATGGAGCCGACCATGCCAAAGGTCTGAGAGTGTAGACTGAGAGGAGCCAATCCATCCTCAACGTCTTGGGTCTTGGGGGGGGGCAAAGGATACTGTTGCACGCGTGTACAGATACGTATAGACCTGAGGTGAATTGCTGTGTACTGCGTGGTATTTGCATAGCATCTACCTACTGTACTTAGATGCACACCATGCCATGACCACCCGCTAGGAACCCACAGAGAATCCATTCCCGTGCGATCCACCGGGAACATGGCGAGGCTACATCTAGTGTAGCACCAACGAGACGCCAGATGCAGCGTGCTCCAAGTGGCCAAACGAACAAAGATCCGGGGGCACGACCGACCGAGCTGCTCGCGATGCACCCGATTCTATGGAACGGACGTGAACCAAGTCTGTGACCTCTCTGAAATCCTCTTGGCCCATGCCGTTCCCCGACCTGTAAGACAGGGCTGGGGAGGTCGCCGTTGAACGGTGAGGTGGTGAGGCAGTGAGGCAAGGCGAATATCGTCAAGCTCGCCGAGTGACTGAAGATCCGCTAGGTACCCGGGGTTGACTGCTATTCTTCTGGCGTTCAGGTACTCCAGTTCACGAGGACGGGGCTGTCCAGTCGTGTCCGCTGCGAGAACGGCGTCGTTGGCACTGTTAGGTAAATGGATCTTGTCCTTTGGCAGATTTCCAAGTGACCAACCAACAAATCACTGCTACCTGGCAATGGCAGCCCAATGCATGATCCGATGCTGGCTCCGTTCATTTGAGGAGGTCGCACAACATTTGCGGGGTCTTCTGCCCGTCTACCCAAGTGATTTACACTAGTGCGGGTACGCCGGCCTTGAAGCACAGCGGGCGCGCCAAAGCCACAGACGCCAATGGCAATACAGCATTCTGAGCCACTCAGACGTAGACATGCCCGTGGCCCATTGCCGGCGGACTGCGAGGGAGATTCCGGCCAGCATTCTTATCGCATCATGATGGAGACAGATGGCCATCGGAAAGGGGGGGGGACAGATAAACACAACAAAAGGCTTAGAAGCGCCCCTGCTAGCCTCAACGTCATCGCAGGAGGCGATCGGGCTCTGACTCTTCTTCATGTTGTGTGCGGTGATTAAAATCTTGTGTCCGATTGGACACGGCTGTCGAGTCGCATGCAGAGAGTGGGTGCGGATGGGTTGACTAGTATCACTATGCGTTTGTGGCCAACATCAAGTGCTTTGAAGTACATCAGTGCATCGGCACGGCACCGTTCCGCAGCGGCGCCCGCGACGGACCATTTGGCGGCCGGGGAATGTCACGGTTCCACCTGAGGGTGGGAGGGTATGAAAGCAGCCAACGAGCGGTTGCGCTAGTGAGGCTAGCTTCGAGCAGCTTTGATGCTAGGTCAGACCAAGGCAGACGCCTCTCGAAATGTGATCGTCAGGGTCTTTTTGCTCACCTAGCCAGAATCCTAGGGAGTGAACGCCCACCCCGGACTTTTTTCTCTTCCTTTCTCTAGAGGCCTGAGACTAATGGTAACAGGTATAGCTTGTGTCGGTGGCCGCCACAACGGACAATACATGCTTTGGGGGGGGGGGGGGGGTCTGCACGTATGTCTCGATGGCGTTTACCTGTCTCTCTTTGGCCTTGTTCTTTCGCCACCAGCCGAGAGGCAAGTCCTGGATGGCTTCGGTGGAGGAAGGTGTAGTAGATAGGGGTCGTTGGAAGACTCGAGAGTTGAGTGGGAGGGGGCATGCTGTCACTCGCCCTAATCCACGGCATCCTCCATCATTATTACACTGGCGAACTCGAACTATTCCTGCCCAACAGCCGTGGTACTTTGGCAGTCTACCTTTGCTGCGTGGTGGTACCCAGGCGAGAAGATACCTAGGCCTCAGTCTCAGTGACTGACTGCATTAGCACATCACCATCTCCCCCGTCTCCGATGCAAGTCAATTGCCGCGTCCCAAACACACCGCCCATTCGTCAAAGACGGAGGGCCACATATGGGCAGTAAGAGAGCACTGAGAGCTGGGGGGTGCTGTAGTCAGCATAATGTGGCCGGTAATGCGAGCAAGCAGTGCGTGCACCACACTACTGCAAAGAGTGTGCAGCAAAAAAAAAAAAAAGAAGAGCGAGGGACAAGTATAGAGGAACTGCGGAAGTGTCGTGGTTCGTCGTTGGAATTAGCAAACCAGCATCGGTGACGTCGGTGGCTTCCTATGCGGGGCAAGCGGGGATAATCATTCAGTGGTATTCCCAGTCTCACCCGGCACCCGCGAACGTCATTGTGTTCCGGCCGCATTGGAGTCCGGCACGTCCTACTGGTCAACGGTGTAGCACCTGCCCTTGGCGCAAATTTCATGAGCGCTGATTCGTTGTAAAGGGGGGTGAGTATGGGGGGTGTACGAAGAATATGTTCTCGGTACTACCTGTTACAGACACACTGTCTCTTGCTCAGAAGTTGCCGCCTCAGGCTACATGTAGTGTCTATATCAAGTTAAGTGCAAAAATAACTCTGCACCTGGGTGCAGTACGTACCGTGGAAAAGAACTGGGTCATGCGATGTTCTCTTCTCTTACCTGATGGATATGTCACTAGGAAAATGTCGCAAGAAGGAAAAAAAAAAAAGTCAACAACACAGTTTCTTCCGTCCAAGGCCCCAAGTGACTCTGCCATTCGCAGCTGGCCCCATCTCCACCAGCAGGACATGGTGCGCATAGGTGCAAGGCGCAGGCACCTAACTTCTCCTTGCCCAAGTTTCACGCTCCTTGCTGCTGCATTACTTCCCGTCCAAAGACAAGCAGAGGGACAAGCAAACCGATATTACACTACATAGTATGCGATGCAATGGTTATTCGGTTTCTATTTTTCGCATCTCTCTCCACTCATCTCTTCCTTCCCATGTCTAGCTTTCTCGAAACACAAGATCAGCCGCATGCGCGCCATCCAATTGTCGCCATCTCCTTCTGCCCCGCACCCTCCCTTTCCAGTGTCTCGTCGATGAGCCACAGGGATGGATGACCGTGTCACTACCGCCTGGCCTGTCTTTTCTTTTGGGATGAAAAACTTTGCGGGAAATAAGGGGGATGGATGATACCCGCATGCCCCTGGCAAGCATCTGCACGCTAATGCTGGCGACAGGGGATATCTTACCCAAAGAACCGCGTACCTGACCACAAACCATAACAGCCATGGTACCGTACCGTATCCTCTCAGCAGATTCGTACAGCGCACATACCACCCACTAGGCCTATTTTGAAAGGCGGTCAGCCAGCCTAGCCACCCACCCACCCATCTAACCCTAACCCTTGCCACCAAACTTGCTGCTGACGTTGACTAACCCCTGCATTTGCCACTTCTAGATCCCTGTTTCTGCCAGCCCGCTAGCCCCTATATAGTAGCCCCTGGTCAGTGCGGTGTACGAATCTACTGAGAGGATACGGTAGTGATATCGCCTTGTGCCAAAGAGGCTCGCAGCGTCCTGCCTGTCTTGGGCTACCGGCGCTAGCGTGCCTGCATCCCGAACCATACCGTCCATCCAGAGGACGCAACCCTCAGGCGCAACCAAACATGGCATTTTGTTAAATGTCCATGTTCTCGCACATGATAATACCATCACCTCAGACTCAACACGTAAGCCAGCGGAACACATCACAGCCGTGCTGCGCCGCCCTCTTCTTCCATCCTAGCACTTACACTACACATACCCCTCCCACCCCTGGTACAGTGTAGATGCCTCAAAGACAACAGTGAAACAATACAACCACCCCCTCTACGTACCTACCGTACCCTAGACCACACGAGTGAAGCTCCGGCCTTCCCCCAATTGACCAATTCACTCCTGCCTGCGATTCGAGGCCCCAACTCGTCTTCCCTGAGTCAAGCACAGGGCAGACAAGCAGCTGACCCGCAACCCTCTGCTACCGCCAGCTTTCTCGCCAGCTTTCTCGCCAGCCAGTGGGTGCTGTATGCCCTGAACTTTCACTAGTTCGCCGGTGCTCCCCCCCCCCCCCCCCCCCCTCAGCACAGCAGCCATCCCGGCCCCCGTCACTCATTCGCATCAGATAACACAGCATCCCAGCACCAAAGGAAGTATCCTTAATCCCGAACCAGCCCCAATGGCCAGCATCACTGTACCTTCACCCCCCTGACCTGTGATAGCGGTGCAATACTAGTAGTAACGCACCACGCTTTGCGAATAGGCCATGCACACTGCATACGCATAGCACACTATCACCGGTACCATCGACCATCTTGTGTCGACTGACAGACTTGGCTATGTCTCCGGATATCAATCCTGTGCAAGGGCCTTTTCCTCAACCCACCCATCAGGCTGCGTTGTGTCCAATCGCTGTGCCAAACTATTTCAGCAGAAAAACATTCCTGCCCCAGTCCCTGTCAACCCCCCTCCCCGCGGGGCCGGCCCATTCACCGCTGAAATCAAACAATGGGGCCCGTAGCCGGCGTTGCGAAGACGGAAGAAGAGGCCATCAAGGTTCGCCTTCTCTACCTTAGTGCGGAGCGGTACCCGCACTACATCCCAATGCTAATACTTTCCATGATTGCGACATTTTCTGACAGCTGCTTCTGGCCCTGTTTTCCTTGCCTTCTTTTTACGATTCGACTCTATTTTTCTTTCTTTTATTTTTTTCTTTTTACTTTGCCACCGATGGCCTAGTCCATCATCGTTATCATCGTTTCAAACACGGCCAACCGTTGGGGCCGCCTCAACTTAGAGCAACTGGCAATGGACGACCACCCTGGGGCGGGAGCAGAAGGCCCAGGCTTCTCTCCGAGATGAGCTCAATATACAGTAGTCTTGTCGTGTGGGGAGCGTGTCCGATCTGGAGGCCTGCAGCTAGATTCTACTTTGCGCCTGCGTAAAGGGTCTCGGTTGCATCAAGTAAGCAACACCCACTGCTATGTAAGCAGACAAGCAGACCAGATCCATAGACTATGTAAAGCCGGCACCGCAACAGCAAGAACTTTGCTCTGTCGAGTGGCAGGCGATAAACCCTGGGATTGTGACCAGGGTCGTTATCCTCCTGTAGTGTGATATCACTAGTTCAATGTTGATGAAGGTGACACTGGGACGCCCTACCCTAGCATGTCCGCGAGATACAGTGATCCGCCTCGTAGACGTGGGAACTGCACACCCAGAATACAGCATCACATTAGAGGCGCAGCGTTCGGTGCCTCTCGAGAACGGCCGACTAGGCCAATCTGCCAGTCCATCGTTGAGAAACCCGTGTCCGGCGCCCCCGTGGATCTCCAATATCCTCTCCGGCGTCTAGGAACGGTGCATCGAGAGCTGAAGCCCATGGGACTAAGTCGCCTCCGTCAGGCTGCCCCCCGGTAGTGTGAGATATGAAGTAAAAGGCGTCCGTTTGCCCGTCGTCAAGGGCTAGCCGCTGATCGATCGGACACAGCCTAGCGAAAGTGTGCCACTAGCGTGCGCAGCGCCCGTCTCGACATCTCAACGCCGTAGCGGCATACAGTCAGTATCAGATTGCGGGGGAAGGCTATGCCGCGAACGTCAAGCAGCCCCCCTCCCTCCCGTGGCTACTCAACCACGCTTTGCGCCTCGCCCGCGATCCCGCCGCCCTTCGATGAGACACGACGGTATATGCAAGATCTCCCACCAAACACTCCTTTGGCGACTGCGCCGGGCATAGCGCAACGTCGTCCGGCTTCGGGGGGCGTGTGTACTGTCTTGCCTCTTCAATACCCCTCCATCTGCCATCTCGCACACGAGCTCAATGATATGCTTCGGCTTTCGAGGCTAGCATCGTACCGACCTCTCATTGGGAGGCTGGAGGAAGGCAAGGCGGACGGCATTGAAACCGGACGACATTGAAGTCCTGCCAGCTCATCCTCGAGTTGGCGACCACTCAACTCGAGAAAAGAGGGCAAGCTTTGTTACAAAGATAAGTGAAAATGGGGGGCGGGGGACGAAGGATGAAGGAGAGGAGAGAAAGAAACATCAGAGATGGCGACATCCTGAATTGCAGCTGAACGCAAGCAGATACAGTAATAACAGGAATGTGATTATGGCAGTGTTGGCAATGGTCTCAGACATTGTACAGGCACGTACGTAGGGCAAGACAAGGGGGGACTCAGGGGAGGAGGGGAGATGTCAACGTAGTTGAGACATACATACATACCAAGGAGAAGGAAATAATTATATAGACACTTCATCTGTAATACATACATTCCATAGGTAAGGAGAACGAGAACCAAGCTAACATGATTATCACTGAAGTGTGAACGAAGGAATACTGCTTTAGTTTAACCGTCTTTTGATTTGTCAATATTAAGCTACGTATGGCGTTAACTCGCCGTGAAGCAACTACTGTCTTTGGAGCCGAGTAAACAACAACCTCAGCTGAGGCTTTTTCACTAGAAAAAGACTTTCCTCTCTACTATTTGTCTCTGTCCCTGCTGTCCCCCAACTATGGAGAATATTCTTCCTCTCCTTTGCTAGCTCTAGAAAGACTCCTTTCCTGTCTCAACATAAGACCTTAAAATACCAAGGGGTGAAAAAGAAAAGCGGCGTTAATGATTGTTTGTGGGTTGTGTATGCGCAACCAGTCCGCTGATGAACGGAAGCTGTGTTGACTTGTTGTGTACAAGTTCCAGGAGAAGAAACATTGCTGATTTGTGACCGAGAAGAGAAGGTGGCTTGACGCACGTAGTGGTATAACTAAATATGTAGACATTAAACAAAGGTCGTGAGGGTCGTGAGGAATCGAACGCAATGCAACTAGGCGGATCACGAGGCTCTCGTTGGGGTCGCATGGCAAACCCAACTCCTCGCTCGTAGTTGGGTGAGACAACTGCCGAGTACTGTGTTGCGTATCTGTGAGAGAGCGTGTCAAGTGCCGCCGTTGATCGTCTTGGGTATGGGCTGCTGATTCTCCGTCTCCATTGGTGAAAGATGATGAACTGCGATGGTATCCTTTTCCCATGCCATGCCCGTCCAAACGCCAGAAAGCAAAACACTGGTATGAAAAAGAGACCGAAACCAGAACATTCTCCACAGTCGCTCTCTATACCGTTGGCGCACCAGGTCGACCCTTGCCAAGTGATTCAAAGAGTTCATGAGGTGGAATCCTCTGCATACCACCGCCTCGGTCATACATTGATGTTGGGGCTGGCGAGTAACCCTCTCGTTTCTTGCGTAGACGATCGAGGGCCATGCCGGCGATAACCAGGAGGAAGATGAGGGCGAGCGAGATACCGAGGCCAATAAGAACGACAAATCCGAGGGCCAAGTGATTGGCTATTTGAGGTTAGCAACTGACTCGAGGCAACGGGGGGTCCTAATTTACCGTTGTCGGAGAAGAAGTCCTCGTTCTCGGTGAAGATCCTTGAGATCGACCCAGCAGTGTTCCCACTGTTAGTAGTAAGGGCATATGGCTGGAAGGTGGTGCCGTTGAAGATGGCAGCTGACGCTGTGCCGAAGTTGGGAATGTTGAGCGAGCCCGTCATCATCAAGACCTGGTTGGAGTTCAAGATATCGGTATTGTCGTGAGATGTGGTCAGGGAGAAGACCTGAAGGCTCTTCACAATCGTACCGGGGAGGAGAGTGACTCCCGCCGAGCGCCAGGCAGTGCCGTCATACTTCATCAGGTAAACAGATCCGTTTGATGCGGTTCCGGAAACCCATAGTTGGTTACGGTCTCGTGATCCGGCTGTCAGGACCTCCACAGGGCCGGGTAAAGAAGCTTGGCCGGGGTACGCAGACCAGGCTTGGCGCTCGGGGCTGTACATTGCAAGCATTGCCGGATAGGAGCTGTTGAGGGTAAAGTTACCGCCGGCAACAAGTTGGTCCTTACTTGTCCAGATGAGCGCATGGCCAGTGCCGTCGAGATTGACACCAGGACGGTTCCAGGCTGCGAGGGACGTATCGTAGTAACAAACGCCCGGGCAGCCGAGCGCGCCAGCTGAATCGAACGAGCCAGCAATGTAAACATCGCCGGATTCAGGGCGGACCTCGATAGAGGTGACGGTAGCGTCACCGCCGGTCACGCCGGGTGGCTGAGTGCTGTTGAAGCTGGCGCTTTGCAGGTTGAGGGAAACAATACCTCGGACGTCGTTGTTGTTGACACGGCCACGTATGTTACCGCCGGCGAAGAGCAGATCACCTGTAATGGCGAGTGCAATGAAGGTCGAGCTATCCTCTATCTGAGAGCCAAGGTCGGTAATTGTGTTCGCGTTTGACCCATCAATAAGCACCAAGTTATTGGCAGAGGTGCCGTTCGCGCCTTCAGCCGTGAAGTGACCACCAAGGATGGTAATGTTGCGGTTATTGTTGTTGTAGAACGCACCGGTGACCACACCCGTAACACTGCCGCTCGAGACCGAATCGCGCTTGCTGATCGTGCGAGAGCTCGGGAACGAGGGCTTGATCTTGATAGGAAACTGGCCAAAACTCTCGGCCAAAGTGACGGCCCCGTTGGCGCTGATTGTAGCCGACGTCATAGACCCTGCATAAAGAGATCCTCCACCGGGGAGGTTGAAAATGCTAGTCGTCAAAATGCCGTTGAAGGCAGGGACGGGACCAGAGAGGTTCTGAAGCCAGTTCTTCCGAGAAGGTACCCAGACGGCGAATCCAGTGACGGGAATAGCAGAGTTGTCGCCAAATGCGTTGATCTCGCTGAAGTCACCGGTGAAGGTAATAACTGACTCGGGCTTGTTTTCATTCGTGAGGTTGATGAGCATAGGGACCACGTGGGAGACCTCGCCGTTGACACCCGAGCCAAGTGCAGTCCAGGTGTTGACGGAAATGTCGTAGACGCCGACGTTGTTTAGGCCTGCAACTGCGTTGTCTTGAGTGTTTGAAAAGATGCCGCCGACATAGAGCTGAGTGCCGTTGAGCTGCATCGCCCTGACTTCACCGTTAAGACCGCCATCGAGCGCCACAGTAGCCTCACTTGCGGTGTTGATGCCGATAACGTTACGAGCAGAGGAAGATGTAAAGTTGCCCCCTACAATGACCAAATCACCAGCAGTTGTCAGGCTGGTAACGGCAGAGCCAGAGGAGAACGATGACCCGAGCTGGTTGATCTTGGAGCTCTTGAAGTCCGTGTCCAAAGTGGCAACTGAAGGGTCAAAGTCGAATAGGCCATTTAGTCCTCCTGTAGAGTTAATGAGGGTAAACCCGACGCGCTGGGCGACAATAGTCATTTCATTTAGGTTCTGACCGGCCAATGGAGTAAGAGTAACGCTGGGCCGGAAACCGTCTGCAGAGCTCGCTTCGATGTATCCGAAGTAGATCTGGTCGTACTTGTCAAAGTTGTTGGTCTGATAGAGCGATGTCGTAAACTTATCTTTGCCGGAGGGTGACATGATACCCGTGACGTTTACCTGTCCTCGGGTCGAGCAAGTGGCGTCCTGCAAGCAGCCTGGTGTATACAGGTTGACAGAGTAGTTGCCGGATTCCTTGAGGTCCGGGAAAAAAGTGACCGAGGCAGAGTTCGTGGTAATGCTGCCGGAGAGTTTTGCAGTCAGGTACTGAGAGCTGCTCTGCAGTGAGGGTGAGGTCGACCACGGCCCAGTGGCAGTGGCAGATGACTTGGTATCACTATCGGAGCAAGCTGGGGCGTTGAAGGCGTTGACCGCATATGAGTTTATGTCATCCTCGAAGAGCTGAATGCCATTGAGGCCAGCACCGGATCCATAGAACTCAGAAATGTCGATCCTGAACGAGTTCATGCCAACAAGATTGACGAAGTGGAAATCCTGGAATTTGACACTGGTGTTGCTGCTGAGAGGACACTCACTCGTACAGGAGGCATTTTGTCCCGTTGCCGGGTCCAAGTACGTCATGTTTAGGATGCCCCCAAGAGGAAGGGCGGTGAAGCGGAATGTCTTGGTTCCTCGACCATCCTGATGAGTGTTCCAGAGTCTGAGCTTCGTGGGCTGGAAGCCGAAGCCGAACGAGGCCTGCCAGAACCCCAAGGCGTTATCGTTCAGCAGCCAAGTGTTGCCCGGGCCACCGACTCCATCCGTCTTGCAGATGATGTTACGGGGATCACTAAAGCCGGGTGTAGAGGTGGTTGAGGTTGACGTGATGTTGGCGCTTGACAAATTGATGATTTGGCCATCTGGAGTGGTGGGGGTGCTAGTGTTGCCGAGGCCAGTGAAACTACCACCGAAGACGATGTGGCCGTTGGAGGCTTTGGTAATGGACGAGATAGGGCCGTTAAAGCCAGCAAAAGGAAGGTTTGTCCAGCCATTCGTGCCCTGCCAGGCAATGGCGTTGGTTGAGTTGGCGCTCCGGAAGTTACCTCCGACATAGACCGTGTTGGCCTCTTGGTCGCAGAGCAGGGCATTAACCTGACCTGAGAGACCAGCCAGAGGCGTGATGGCGGATGTATTGGGGTTGAACAAGGCAATGCCTTGTGACTGAATACCATCCAAGCTCGTAAAATTACCGCCAATTACCACTCCCTGCATCGTCCCATCTCGGAGGGTGAATGTGCACATGTCGTGAATCGAAGCATCAGTAGAGATGACCGAAGCAAAGGCGTCATTAGGCAGCTGGGCAAGCAAGGATTCGCTTCCGTTGGTGTTGTAGGGCCTCTCGTTCTGTTCCTCAAACTGAAAGCGGGAAATGCCGTTGAAGTCACCTGCCACCCCAATCCTGCCAAGCTGAGAAAGGTCGAGGTCCACAGAGGGAACCGGGGTGAACTGAATCGCAGTCGCCAAAACAGGTGCCAGAATTGCGAACGCCAGCAAGTTCGACCGCTGATGGCGGCGGCGCGCCGAAGGCGAACGCATTGCTATCGCTGTTCAGTTGGGTGAATGGTCGGCTAGGATATGAGAATGCTGGGTATCGAAGTTTTTGGATCGGGAGTTTTTGATGATAGAAAAATCGGACTGGGTATCGCGTCGCATTTGCAGAAGTAGCCTATTTTTGGGCGCTGGCCATGGCAAGAATAATCTGTCTTGCTTCGTTTGGTCGGTCGGTGAGTCGGGAGGCGCGTCAAAAATCAGTGGTGCGAAATTAAACGGAGGCGAGAGGAGTCGAGTCGAATCGAGTCGGGTCGGAAGGTAATGATTGAGGGGGTTAAACGAGTGTGTGGTGTAGGATGAATACAAAAAGTGGAAGGAAAGAAAAAAGTTGATTCGTCGCCCAGTTCTACCGTCGGGGAAAGAGATGTTAGAACTGAGCTGCAGCCATTTGATGGCGATGGCGATGACGATGAAGAGAGAGGGAGGGAGAGAGAGAGAGAGAGAGAGAGAGAAAGAGAGGAGTGGTAAGCCAGGCCGCTGCTCTTCTCCCCCTGTTCTTTTGACTGTTTTGTTGTTTGTCGGTGGAGAGGAAGGAGAGGCTGAGCCGCCAGGCGAAATGGAGCTGGAATGGAGGTACGTGCCCCACATGTACCTGCCCGTACCTACTCAAGGGAAATTGGTGGTGACGATTTAGGTTGCACTTACCTCCTATCAAAGCACAGACACTGCTTTTTGGCAGTACGGCTACGGCTGCACAGCTGTTGATTGTGCTCAGGACTAAGTACTCTTCAAGCTGATGGCAATAAGAAGTCTAGAGATGTGAGACGAGCCAGAATAATATCGCCAAGAGTTATAATGGCCCGTTCTCTCCTTGTTTTTTTTTGTCGGTATTAGTCTGATGTCTCGGCGGAGAAAAGAATGGTCGGGAGCGAGAAAAAGGAAGTAAGCCACATCGAGTAAGTGGGTGATTGAGCAGGAAACGATGGGAGAATTCAGCGCGAATCTGTTTCGGTAAGGACTCAAGTTGTCCTTGGGCTCGAAAACGCGTGTATCACGTCGTCGATTTGGATTGATGCGTGGGCAGATAGATGCAAATTGTGGTGTGCCGTTGTAATGTCTCGTTATCGTGTTGCCTCTTGCCGTGACACGAGGTGTGTCTGTGTACCAACCCGTGTTGGCAAGGTACCAGGAGAAGGAGAGGAGAAGCCGGTGACGCCACAGAAGTGAATACATAAACTATGGCCCAAGGTTCGGCCAATCAGTGGCGTCAAGACGGACGATTTAGTGCTGTCTCCAATCTCAGTGGCGCAGGTCGTTGGATACCCTTCCCCTAGATCCAGGGGCACTAAATGTCGGTTGAACACTTCTACACACAGGCGAGGGTTCAATGTCGTGCGAGCGATCTGTCTGTTGGTGTATTGCTTTTTCGTCTTCACTTTTTTACTGGAGTAAGTCGTGTGTCCGACGTGATTGCTGAGCGTTAGAAAGATCGGCCAAATAACGAAACGGCTGGTAGGGCGTCTAATGAGGACCGAGGATAAAGGCACCACAAGTTACGAAAACCGCGTGGGTGGCTGGCTGTCAATGGGGAAATGTCAGACAAGTGTCCTGATCGCCGATGGCCGAGGACCTGATTCAACCTACAACTTTCGTCCTCAAACCTACAACTTTCGCCCTCAAACCTACCCGTGGATTGCTGCGTAGAGATTGGAAATGAGCGATAAGAGACGCTCCGCAGTGGGAATCTCGGGTAAGATGGGGCTTCAATATGTAAACGTCGAAAAGGGAGGGCAGGCCTAGAGGAAGAAAGTGCCTCAGTCACAATTGGCGCACTCAAACTTGTACACAGCTCTGGGACTCTCAGGCGCGGTAGTATACCTACATACCTAGTACCTAACGCAGTAGGTACACCAGCAGTTAGTCCACAGGGATCGATGTCAAAGGATGCTAGGGTATTGGGCGTCTCGTAGCTTTTTCCCGAGAACGAAAAAAGACCACCCTCGCAAACACTACGAGGCGCAGTCAACGTCTTTGGGTAGCACTGTCAGGAAACAGATCGGCCTTTCCAAGGTATTGGTTTGGGGTGGACAGACGTTGAAAGGGAGGCTGTTCGTTTGCACTCAGGCTTCGTCCGTTTTCCAGCCTCCCTACGGATGGATACTTAGGTATTCTGGATCCGGGGCATGATTGATTGACGGCTGCCGTCCGTGATCTAGTGTAGGCCCCCCCCCCCCCCCGGCGCACGTTCTTCCTGCAGCAGCTAATGCAGTGTGCCAGAGTCCAGATGGCGGGACGAACGGTTGGTAGGTGGAAGGCACCGGAGACAATTTCAGGACAGACCCCAATCGAGCGCAAGTGACTGGGGCACATGTCTCTGGGGTCAAAGTGCTTTGATGCGATGAAGCGCCCTGACTGGCCCATTTGAGGTCGCACTTGCAGTAGCGTCAGGTACAGACTCGTACCACATCCCTCCTAACTAGGTAGGTACCTAGCGGGGCACTTAGACTACATAGGTACATGATATCGCACTTGGCACACGAATGATTAGTTGCCCCTCTACTTGTGTAGTTGCAATGGCTGACCCCGGGAACCTTGTCTGGTTTCCCATCTTCGCACTTGTCCGTCGGACGTCATAAGGAGCACCATGCGACAGTTAAGGGGCCTGTCTCCTTTTTGGGGCGACAACCTTCTCCCACGTTTTGGAATCATTGCCCCGGAACCACCGGAAGAATTCTGGCTCTTGCCGCATGGGACTTGACTTGCGATGAGGGTTTGGGGGGTGGGGGGTTGTTTTGGTGTCGCGGCATGGGTCAAGCTTCTGTCTCGCACCAGTTTGCCGTGCCGTCCAACTCGACGAGGGGGCTTGCTGAACCTCTTCTTCTTCAAACCCATTTCGTCTCAATACCCATCCTTGGTGGGGGTACACATCCTGGTCACTCCAACGACATTATCTTCGCCAGTTGACTCGGTCCTAGCCATACATAGCATCCGTACTTCTGTGTGACCCCTCTATTGAATGCCGTCCACGATGAATTGGTTGGTTTGCCGTCGTCTTGGAATGCGGCAGCTCCCCAAGGCTACCTATCATGGATCCACTTTGGGAATGGGCACGTTATGATGAGAGAGAAACTGAGTGCTAATGCACGCGGGACGTGCCTGGGTACGCGTCCGCCCACTTTATGGGGTTCTTGGGTCAAATTGCCAATCTGCAGTGCAGAGACAAAAGCAGTACCGCACCTGGCCACACAAACGAAACAACCCAAATTCTCCCCTACCCAACTCATCTTGTGCGTCTGACTGTACCCATGTGAAGAAGTCACACTTCACGGACGGGAGCCAACAACGGATGTGTGCTCCATTCCGTTTGAAAGAGATGGATATCAGTTCTGGCATATCTCGACATTGGACGGAAAGCCGTGCATCTCCACCAAATTTGAGCTTGACTCGCACGTCTCTGTTTGCTCGCAGTCTGTCACCTCATCTTTTGCCCCGTGTGACAACCGATACATATCATGTGGTTTATACTATGTAGCTTCGCTTGAGCCATCGATTATGCAGCCTATTTTGCCGGCACGAGGCGCAAGAACCCCATCGAGTGGGTACGTCGATCCGGCACGTTGAGCTCCGGGGCGCTTGACGCTTCCTTAATGCACCGCCGTTCAACAGAGGCTTTCTTCAACTCCGTCTCATCCGCATGGCTTGAAAGGGCACGTCCGCACTTATCGTGCGTCTGATTGGACCGCTTGACGATGCCTCGAGCTTTCTAACCGCCAAGGCTGCTTGGGTTCTCACAAACGAACATGTCTCCCTACATAGGTAGTAGAGCGTGGTCATAAGTCTTTATCCTTTTCTAACAACAAAAATACCCAGGAGTGCTTGCCGGGCCAGTAAGGGAAACGTATCGGCTTGTATCGCTTCCACTGCTCAGACACCTCTCCACCCTGGCCTCTGTTTCCTGGTTACTGCTCAACCAGAGCGGCCACTACCAATTGAGTGATGCAGATGCTGCGACACGCAACAAAAATGGTCCCAGCCAGATTACGCTCCTTGAACCTTGAAGGTTCGGCCACTTGCCGTTTTGCGCTCCTTCTCCTCACTGTCCGGACGCGCGCGACGAAGAACTGCAATATGTCAGTCGAAGGCATCAGTCGACAAAAGAGCCGTCTCTTCTCACCTTGAAGGAAGTCGGCCGTACGCTTGCGCATACGCGAGTGGATGTATGCCTTGGATGCCTTGATGTGGTAGTGAAAGTAGTCACGGAAGGTCTGGATGTGAGAGATGACGTCGGGCATTCTCTGTGGTGTAAGATGGCGGGGGAAGAGAACTGCATAACGAGGTGAGTACAACAACGCCGCGGCAACAGTGTAACGACCACCTACCAAAGGTAACATATCCGATTTCACCAGTGCCAGAGTCTCTGACTCCCGGCACTCCCTGCAGCTCCAAAGGAGGGTCATTCCTGAAGAGCACCTGAGGGGCGTTCTGAATAGCTCGCCGACGAGCATCAACGAATTCTTGAATAAAGATCTTGCCGAAAACACGGTCAGTCTCCTCGCGAAATATGGTGCTGAAGATGACGGTAACACGGTCGTGACTGGCCTTGACGTAAATGGCCTCCTCCTCGCGATAGTGAATTGCCATGACTTCGCCGCCCTCGCGCACGCCCTGAGGAGCCTCCTCAGAGGTGTACTTAGATGCTTCCTCCTTCAATTTGTAGTGCTCCTCGTACGCCGCCTCGAAAGGAGCAGCCATGGCATTGCGCTTCAGCAACGCCATCTTCATAATCAGTGCTTCCCGTTCGTCTGTACTGATTGTCAGCCCATGTAGCATCAGTTATCGAAGCATAACTGACCCTTGTCCTCGGGGAGGTTCTCAAGGTCGATCATGACCGAGAAGTCATAGCCGGGCTCCGGCGGTACCACATATTGACCATATTCCCTCTGCAGCACCTGCTCTGCGCCGTACTTCACCAGATCCTTGTAGCATCTTATTTGGATCGAAAGCTGAATCTTGGTCTTCGTCTCAGGGGTCGAGATGTGGTAAAT